TTTTTTATTTCTCTTATCTTACATAGTTGTTTTTTATGTTATTTCATTATGTTTACATTGAATTTTTACACAGCGTAAATACTTCTGGATCAAGGCCAAAGCAACCATCAGAGCAACAAAGCAAAATTTCTGGTATATGACATGTAATAATTGCAATTGTTAAACAATTTGTTGTCAAACGACCCCTCGGGTTATGATGTAACCCCGACTTTATCTATCATCAATCGGCCTTGGCCATATAATTGATTTATATGTCGACATAATTATCGAGACAACCCCAATCCACATTCTTATGGACCGTTAAAAGCAATCTATTGTTAATAGTGTTGCTCACGGGTCGTCCCATTTCCTTGGAGGGCTATGGTATTAGTTTGAAGCTCATTATTTTGAATTGAGCCTTGTTTGGTCCATTAAATAAACCTTACCAAACTTGCCTTGTTTGGTCACTTGTTTGGCTTATATTCTCGACCTTTACTATGAAGAATGTTCCATCTCTCTCTGTGACTGCTTTTCGGCTTCTCCTCTTTCTTATGACCTTTGTTGTTTCTTGTGGGCATATTATTGTTCTTTATCATGTCCAACTCTTTGTGAGTATATTGTAGCAACCGGAGGTGGGAATATAGGTGGTGGTTTTGGGTGTTATCTCGATAATTGTGTCGACATATAAATCAATCATGTGGCCAAGGTCGATTGATGATAGATAAAATCGGGGTTACATCATAGCCCGGGGGGTCGTTTGACAACAAATTGCCTAACAACCTCCACCTTGGTGTCAAAGGACTTGCAAAAGAAAATGTCTCCCATTAGTGACACCTCTAATAGAAAACCAATAAAATTGAAAATCATTTACTTGTACCAATGTTTAGAAGTTCTTTGCAACTTCTAAATTTTGCTAGTGGCAGTACCTTCGTCCCCATATCAGAAGGATTGTAGTGGGTGTGGATCTTTTCAAGTCTTACCACCTCTTGAGATACTATATCTCTAATGAAGTGGAGTCTAACATCAATGTGTTTAGTGCGCTCGTGAAAAACGGGGTTCTTGTGTAAATGTATAGATGATTGACTATCAGAATACACTACCACATAATCATTCAAAACACATAGTTCATGAAGAAGGCCTCTAAGCCATAGAGCTTCTTTAATAGCTCCAATGGCAGCAATATATTCTGTTTCTGTAGTGGATAGTGCAACAATATGTTGTAACTGTGATTTCCAACTAACACATCCCTACCATCCCTATCTCCCACTTAGTCAGCATCTACAAAACCCTTTCATTTTATACCTTATTTATTAGTACTAAATTTTAAACCTACGTCACTTGTACCCTTCAAGTACTTTAATAGCCACTTTAGCGCTTCCCAATGTTCAGGACCCGGATTAGCCATGTATCTACTGAGATACTAACAGCAAAACCTAAATTCGAACTAGTGCAAACCATCAGATACATTATGGAACCAATCACATTAGAGTAAGACACTCTACTCATGTATTCTACTTCATGCTCATTGTAAGGGGATTGTTCATTCGATAAAACAAAATGATTGGCAAGAGGCAACGTGACAGGTTTGCAATCACTCATATTAAATTTCTTCAATACTTTGTATATGCATGGAGACTGATGCAAAAACAGAACAGAATTTGACTTATCTCTTTCGATTTCAAGACCTAAGATTCTATTAGCCTTACCTAGGTCTTTCATGTGAAATTCATCACTTAGTTTTGCTTTTATGTTATTTATCCACTCAGAGGATGATCCAATCAAAAGCATGTCGTCCACATAGAGCAACAAAAACAGATAATTATCATCATTCTCATTTTGTTGAAAATACAAGCAGTGATCAAATTTATTTCTTTGGAACCCTATAGTGAGTACAAAGGAATCAAACCTTTTGTACCACTGTCTAGGAGATTGTTTTAACCCATACAAGGACCTTCTCAGAAAACACACATAATCAGATTTTGACTTATCCTTAAAACCTTTTGGTTGATTCATGAAGACTTGTTCATCAAGCTCACCATGTAAAAAGGCAGTTTTTATATCAAATTGTTCAAGTTCCCAGTCAAAGTGTGCAACCAATGCGAGCATGACCCTAATAGTGGTGTACTTAACAACTGGTGAGAAAAATCTCATTATAATCAACGCCCTCCTTCTGTGTGCAGCCTTTAGCTACGAACCTAGTTTTAAACCTTAGGGGTTCCGAGCTGTTAGTACCTTTCTTAACCTTAAAGACCCATTTGCAATCAACAAACGATTTGTTCTTAGGCTTAGGTACTAGCTTCCAAGTATGATTCTTTTCTAGAGAACTCATCTGTTCTTTCATTGCCTTAAGCCATTCATTAGATTGATCACTGCCTATTGCCTCGTCAAAGGTCTTTGGCTCTTTATCAGCTAGTTCTTCATAATTAGCTTGGGTGAAAGCTAATTCAGATTCGAAATCGAACCTTCTAGGTTCTCTTGTTTGTCTCCTCTCTCTATCCCTAACTAAGTTATAGTTAGCTAAAAGATTTTCTTCCTCACAGTGCTCTTCTATCACTACTTCGTTACTATTCTCCACCTCGGGTTCCTGAGCTTGAGTCTCCGCCTCATTTGAAGCAGTAGGGGCAGGTGTACTGAGCTTTCCTAACTCCACCTTAAACTGGTCTCTCTCTTCACCTGGTTCAACTTCACTCTCAGGTTCAGTTTCTACTTTAATATACGGCATCTCATTCTTGTTAAACGTGACATTCCTACTTATGATGATCTTAACCCTTTTTTTGCTTCTATCCCATAACCTATAACCCTTAACACCCTCGGGGTATCCTAGAAAGACACTTCCTAGCTCTAAGTTCCAGCTTACCCTCACTTTCATGAGAAAAAGCTGTACAGCCAAAAGTTCTAAGCATCGAGTAATTACTCAATTTACCCGACCATCTCATGCGGAGTGTCACCATTCAATGCAGCAGAAAGAGTCAGGTTAATCAAATAACAAGCAATCATAATAGCCTCACCCCAAAATGATTTGTGACACTAGAACTAATCATCATGCAACGGACTTTATCAAGTATAGTTCTATTCATCCTTTCTGCTATCCCATTTTGCTGAGGAGTGTAAGGAATGCCTCTTTTTTTACACATACTATCAAATTCCTTATTGCAGAATTCTAGGTCGTTATCTGTCTTTAAAAATTTGATTTTTTTGCTAGTTTGGTTTTCCACTTGTCTCTTCCAATTGTTAAAACTATTAAAGGTCTCAGATTTATTCTTCAAAAGATAGACCCACAATTTCCTAATGTAGTCATCGATAATAGATAGGAAATACCTATTCCCACCCGATGTGGGATTATTAGTAGGACCCCACAGATCAGAGTGTACATATTCAAGCATACTTTTAGCTCTATTAACACTCGTAGAGAAAGAAGTTTTATGATACTTACCATGCACACAATGATCACAAAATGACAAATCTGACACTCAGTCATTACCAAAAACACCTTTTTCGTTAAGTAGCTTAAGTTCTTTGACCCCTACGTGAGCAAGTCTATTATGACATGTGTGTGTGTAATCAATCTTGGTAGAGGAGATAGAGGGGTTCACACCTCTAATCACTTCAATAGTAGTAATATATATATCGTTTTTCTTAATTCCCTTAATGGAAACTAAAGCACCCTTGATCATTTTTAGCATACTATTTCCAATTTTACTAGTAAAGTCATCATTTTCAAGTCTCCCAACTAAATCAGATTCCTAGACAACTCAGGAATATATCTAATATCCTTTAACGTATACACAAAATCTGTGTCAAATTTTACGTTTATGTCACCAATTTCAGCAATAGTATAGGCAAAGTTATCACACAGCACAACATACCCAACATTAGATTCATGCAACTTATAAAACCAATTCTTTTCAGACGTCACATGAAAAGATGCACCAGAGTCAAGTATTCACTCATACATGCGGGAATTAGCTGTTCGATTTAATTCAACAGTATATGCAACGGGACTTGTAATCATATAGATCTAACCACCATTTATATCAGAAGTAGATGTTAACACATTGACCTCATCTCTCTCCTTGACCTTTAGCTTACCCATCTCCTTATGACAATCCTTTATAAAATTCCCTATGTTTCCACAACTATAGCATTTTCTCACCTTAGTCCTAGATTTTGATCTAGACCTACCTTTGCTCTTCTTTTTCCATCCATTACCACTTGACTCGCCACTAGTTTGATATCCATCATGACTATTTTGCCTAAATTGAGTTCTACCCCGCATCATATGTACCTCACCGTTCCTCTTATCGTGTTTTTTAGCTCTAATTTCCATTTCTTTACTTCTAAAAGAATCTATAACAATTTCAGGTGTTAACGTGTCTCTCCCATACTTAATGGTGTTCTTAACTTCCTTATAGGAATCAGGAATTGCATTGAGCAAAATTATAGCCTTATAAATTTCGGACACATTCTCATCACAATTAACTATATCTTGCACCAATTTGTTAAACACGTCTAAATTGTCATCAAGATCATTTGAAGGATCCGTTTTGAAACTGAAAAAATATTCGAGCAAGTAAAGTTTATTCGGTGTAGATTTAAGCAAATACAAGTCTTCTAATTTTTTCCAAAGTTCTTTAGTGGTTTTCAGTCTACCCACCTTTCTTAAAACGGCGTTAGACAAGTGTAAAATGATTGAGGTATAAGCAAGCTCATCGACTTCTTCTCTTTGTTCTTGTGAAAAATCAGTTGAAAAATTGCTTTCAATGGCCTTTGAAACCTTTTGTTGGACTAAAATGTCCTTCATTTTTTGTTGCCAAATAGTAAAGTCGCCCTTTCCATTAAAAATCTCCAAATCAAAGTTGTGAGTTGTCATATTCACACAACAGTCAAAGAATGCACAAACCACAATCAAACCACACAAAATAGTCCTAGGGTCACAGATAGTATACACTGTTCTAGTTCCCAGGGTTTCGTGAGACTCGCGATCTTAGATCAAGGGAATGTTCGAACGGGTAAGGTCACGATATTTCTAACAGAATAAGTAACCAGCGGAAGTAACAATGCAACAAAAGATACGTCTAGCAGATAACTAGTTTTAAAGTAATTAGATCTCTAAGAATTACAAAAAAATGATTTTAACCCAAAAATAAATACTCAATCAAAACAATCAAGAGCACGTAACCGTAATTCTAGCACAAACAATGGTTGCCAAGCAATGACAACCCCCAACCTATTGTCACCCCACACGGTGACGCGCTAATGCTGAAAATTAACGGTTTAAGCCAATTTACCAGAGCAGACGTGTCTGAATTCGTATAATCGAGATAAATGCGAATCTACTACTTTAGGGCTGCAATTTTGGCCTAAAGTAATTCAGTAGATATATGGCAGTTTCAATCGTCGATCCAGCAGGGGCAAAATTGTCCAACTTTTTCTGTGTAACTTGAAACAGAAAATGAACAGTGTCAGTGCGTTCAGGGGATTGAAATGAGCAAACTACCCAAAGGAAGTTTGTCGGAAAATGTCGCCACGCGTCGCTGCCACCACGCGCTCCATTGGAAGAAGTGCCTTTGCCTACTGGTTCCGAGTATGGGGTCGGTTTCACCGAAAAGTTTCTGGTTTGGCCAAAATTCGCGATTATAGGTTTGGTTTCCTTATAAAAATGCGAACCCGCTAGCGTTTTTGGGTGGATTTCTGGCCGAAAAAGGTGACCCACGCTCTGATACCAGTTGTAGGGCCAAGTTTTAGCAAATACCAAGTAAACCAGGCTTAGTTTCACCAAATAGATCGACACCACCAACGGGTTGAGACAACGCCCAAAACCACCACCTATATTCCCACCTCCGATTGCTACAATATACTCACAAAGAGTTGGACAAGATGAAAAACAATAATATGCCCACAAGAAATCTAGTTGTTTATCCACTTAGAAGATGATCCAATCAAAAGCATGTCGTCCACATAGAGCAACAAAAACAGATAATTATTAGCAATAAAGTCAGTCATGCAGATTTTGGTGAGACTTTTCCTTGTGTTTACTGCAAGTATCCTTCCACAAAGGCTGTCCCTAGGTAGTGCTCACTAGATACCTTTTCGATGCGTACCACTTGCAGAGATGCCGTGTTAAACTCCACACAATTCTTCCATTTCAATCTTTCTTCTTAATATTAATAAACTCATCTCCATTATCATAGGGCAAATGCTAATG